TTTTAATAGGAAACACTATAGGTGACTTAACAGAATGTAGAAACTGAATGGCTATTTTTTTGCTGATGGGATAATATTGAGACTAAAATTTGGCTACAGAATATATCTTACTCCCAACTGCTGAAGGCAGAACTTTTCTGTTCACAGAAGTAGCAGTAGAAAAACGTAAAAAGGAAAAGTTGCAAAGCTGCAGTGTACTGCAGAGAACTAGCAGTGTGTCTTGTTTTAGTTAGAAACAAGTAACTTAAGAGAGAGGAAAGGATTGTGTGACTTCAGTGATATAAAGGGACTTTTAGATGGGCACAAGTCTGTGGGTTGTGTCCGGAGCCGTATTTCTGGCTAGACGCTCAAGGCACTTTGTCTAACGACTTTAACTCACACTGACACTCAAGCCAAGGTAAAATCAGACACTCCTGTGATAGAGCGGCACTTTCTGATGGTTGTCAGGTTTCTTGGGAGCACCCAATCCTAAGAATGAGAGACCTTCCAGATGCCCCAAGGTGCTGTGTCTATACCAGCTAAAGGAGGGGGTGAGCATGTTGCCACTAGAGATCATGAGGACCTTGGTCTCCTAGGGCACTCAGGATGCAGGGCAAAGGCAAGAGTATTCAGTTCGTAATGGAGGCAGATATCTGAGACAGCCTTGAGACAGCATCACAGACTGTGGTTGAGAAATTGATACAAAGCCCTCTAGGTATTTTCAAGTTAGAAGGTAGTTCAGACCAGTGGCCTCTGTCAAGGGTACCTTTTCCAGGAGGATGGAAATTCCAACAGAATTCATGCTCATGAAGGTCTTAGCACAGAGCTTTCCATCTCCTCATTGTCACCATATTGGTCTGCATAGGGTAGGCAGGACCCTGTTCAGAGGGCCTTAACAGAGGGTACAGGTTCTTACATTCTAACTAGCATAACAGAGCTCTGCTGATTGTATTTGACAAAGTCAAAGATCAAAACATTCAAATTAAACTCATGTTAAAGAAATATATTGTCTCTGGGAGCTAGGAAGCCCACAAGTGGATCCGGCTTCAGGGATGGCCATTTTCAAGAGGAAACACATCAGGGCTGGCCATTTCCCAGCTCTCCTTTGTTCTGTGTTTATTTTGACCTCTGTGTATTCTCAGGCTGTTTCCACTCTGTAGGAAAATGGCTTCCATCAGCTTCAAGGCTATTTCCCCTTTTCAAAGTCCTTTTTAGAATGTTGCTCAGGGCCACAGATTGCTCCTGCTGGGTGATGTGCCTATCATGAACCAGTCCTTGGGGCCAAGGATGAAGCTGGGTTTGGTTTGGTTGTTTGTTTAGAGATGTTTATGTTACATGTTGCTCAGTTGGACTCACCTCCTGGGCCTCAGTGATCCTCCTGCATCAGCCTCCCGAGTAGCTGGGACTACCAGCAGTGCCGCTGCACCAGGCTGAGGCTGGATTTTTACAAGGCCCAGGTTATATGCCTACTGTTGAGGCTGGAGCAGCAGAGTGAGGATTTCTCAACCCCACCCAACCACATGAAATGATGGATGAATATGGAACAAATGACACATGTGATGGCACTCTCCCATCAGAAAGAGAAAAAAAATCTCACTTCCTCCCCACCCATCAAGTTCCTGACTAATTGACTTTCTTGCATTTACTCTCAGACAACTTTAAGAAGAAAAATAGGCAATCCTTGCCAGCTCACCTTGTCTCTCTCTCTTTTTACTTTGTAATTGTAAATTAAATTTGTAATCAGGTTTCCACTTGCATTACTCTTCTGCCGCATCTAAAGACCTGTAGTAAGTCCTATCCCTAGGATGGTGATTAAGAATTCATTGTAGAGCCAGCCTGTATGAGTTCAAATGCTGGCCTCCCTAAATAACTAGTTGAGTGACTTTGGGTGAGTTGCCTAGCTTCCAAGGATTTTAACACCCAGAGCAGGGCCTGCCATAGGGAGTGCTTACTAGTAGTGCTTACTAGTACCAGATGGTATTAAAGAGTCACTGCATTTGACAGCCTTGCCCCTCTTTGCTTCTGAAAGACTCCTCTGTCATTCCTCATCACCACTTTCTTATTTCTCCTTCCCTACCCCACACCCTGTCACTTTAGTTGGCTCCTCTCTTGTCCCAGCACGTATATGCTCAGGCTCTCCTGCTCCTTTTGCTCCCTTTATGTTTTGCCACAGGTTTCTACCATGTGATTTCATTCACGCCATTTATCACTGAAGATTCTGAAATGATCCATCTCCAGCCCAGACCTCAGTCCTGAGCCCCAGACCAGGCTCTTTGACACCAGCTACAGTAGTCAGTGTTAGAAGTACCTCAAACATGCCCCAAACTGAAGTCATGGTCTTGCTCTCATCATAAGTTGGCTCCTGCTCCTATAAATTTACTATCATTTAATAACAGTGTTTACTCTCACTCACCCTCTGGCCCCTTTTCCCCTTTACCATCGCTGCTGCTTTTAGACCAATACTTATCATAGTCACTTAGATAGCTTAATTGGCCCTCCAGCATCTGTCTCCTCGCTATAGCCCATCTTCCACTCTCCCAGTTATGTTCTTACAAAATAAAGCTCTAATTGGCCACCACCACCCACAACTGAACTGCCTAACTCCCCCTTCCTCTCAGCTTGGCTTACAAACCAAGCCACCCTCATTGCCAACACTTCCCTCACCCAATCCTGACCCCTGCCACACTGAACTTTTGAGCATGACACACCATGCCTGGCTAACTTTTTGTATTTTTTTGTAGAGATGAGTTTTCACCATGTTTCCCAGACCGGTCTCGAACTCCTGAGCCCAAGCGATCCTCCTGCCTTGGCCTTCCAAAGTGCTGTGACTACAGGCGTGAACCACTGCACCCAGCCCTTTGTTGTTTCTTGATACTAGATTTGTAGCTTAGCAATTGCCCAAATACCCATTGTGATTTAGCTATTTCCAAGTATTTCTCTGAATACAGTGTTCAAAATACACAAGGCATTCTTATGTCTTGAGTCACTAAATGAATGTAATGACTGAATGAATTAATAAAATGGTAAGACAGCAAACACATACAATATAAAATAAGGTCCAGTTTTATGATCTTGACATTCCCCAAACTTTCCAATCTATCTATTAAATGAATACTTTGTTCCTTGTCAAAACATGTACAAGAAAGAAGTCACCCCTACAGCTTTGTCTCTCCTTGTGTTTATAGTAATTTCAGTACTTAAAAATTCAGATCATTGCTTTGACTGCTGTAATGCCTTTTTGAGGGAAGTTGATGTACAGAGACAGAAGATACCGTGAACTGTCTGGCTTACAGATTACAGGGAAGTTTTTCTAAATTCTCTTCTCTCACATTGGTAGCACGTGCAGCACTGCAACATGGCCCCTCAAATCTAAAATCTTCAGCTATGTGTGGTAACAGTGACCCTTCTGTGTCATTGAGAGAGAGGAAAGTTTTGTCATGATAGAAATGCTCATACTCTGAGGATATTAGAGAGTGAATACTTGAGGATAGAATTAATCAAACAACTCTCCTTGATTCTGGATATTTTAGCCTAAAGGAAAAAATAATACATGAGTTTAGCTTTGAAATGTTTCAACAGTTTCACTGATTGTCCAGAAGTCATTGTGTGCCCGCTTTCCTCATGTGTTCATCTATTGCCAGTATTACTTTCTGTGCCAAGATCTGAAAAACTTGCTATTGACTCAGTCATACTCTTGCTAATGTTCCAAAGCACTGAAAATAAGGCAATTACGTAGAGGTGAGGGCCACATTCCAAAGACAGTGGATGTTTCCCACAGCACTTCCAATCACAAAAAAACAGTGAATTCATAAACATCCACATGTTTTCCCAACTCTCATTTATCTCAGTCATTATTTTTTCTCCTTCCCAGATGCTTTCATATTCACTTAACAAAACCCTCTAAAGTCATTTATACTGTACCTATGTGCTATGAATCTATAGTGTTACTGAAAAACTACCCTCCTTCATGAAGCCAGCTGTCTTTCTGCTCAGCCTCCCAACTTGTAAGTTCTACGTGAATGCTCTCATATGCTTTCAGCCATGATGCTGAAGGTTAGCTCTTGAATATATTTTTCATAGCATGCAATAGTTATATAATAGAAATAGAAACTTAGGAAATTTAACAAAGAAGATTAGCATAATAGCCTTAACACTCACCTGCTACATGAAATCATCTGTGTTCATACCATTCCCCACCTTCCTTTCCTCTGAATTATCAATACCATACCTTTTAGCACCTGGTAGTACATCATTGTGGTTTCACTATTGTTACATTTTTTTCTTTTCAGAAAATGTTTATATTCTCTTGGGGGGACCACTATTTCGATTTTTATTTAGGCTGTGTATTTATTATGTTAAGAAAAAAACACAAGGGGCCCAGCCCAGTGGCTCATGCCTATAATCCCAGCACTTTGAGAGGCCAAGGCAGGTGGATGGCCTGAGCCCAGGAGTTCAAGACCAGACTTGGCAATGGTGTGAGACCCCATATCTATTTTTAAATAAAACAAAAACCACTCAAGAAAAATTATACAGATAAGAACCACTTTTTTTCATATACAAAAAACAAGGGCCATAATCTCACCATCCAGAGATAACCTCTGTGGTTAACGTTAGATAATGCTGTAGACTAAGATATATATGTGTGTTTGTGTGTGTGTGTGTGTGTGTTTGTGTGTATTTTAATGAAAAATATTCCTATACATACTGTATTGCACCTGCGTTTTGCTTTTTCACTTAAGCATATTGAAAAACTTCACCTATATTATCTTTCTTCAGCTTTATTCTTAATGATTGCATAAAAATTTTAATGCATGCATGTATAATAATGTACATAACCAATTCCTGATGATTTATATCATTTTAATTGTGTCTCATGGGTTATTTTCTTATATTTTCTTGCTTGAGGAGACAACTATAATTGAATATACTTGTGGCAATTGTTTTAAACAAATTTTATATTAATTTTCTGGAATCATATTAAGATTGAATATATTGAAACTCAAATATTTTTCTCACTTTAGGAGAGCACAAGCTTCACTTTATCCCTGCCCTGATTGGCCCCTTCCTAGAAGTGACCTTGATACCCCAGCAAGATCTTCGAAATGTCATGATTCCAATTTTTCATGATATGATGGACTGGGAGCAGAGGCGGAGTGGCAACTTTAAACAGGTAGGCAGAAGTGCTCCTCAGAAGATGTGGAAGAGTTTCAGCTCTTCTGAAGCATCTATGAACTTCCAGATTCTACTCCAAGTTGGGAAGTGAACACTGGGCCATCAGACCTGGATTCCATCCTGGCCTATCCATTCCTAAGCCACACAGCCGTGGATACTTCTCAGATCCTGTGTTGACCTGAGCCTCCAGTGAATTCCTGAAAATCATTTGATTCCCTTTCAGCTAAAAAATTTTTTGATTTTGCAGGTCTATATTTAAGAACTTGCAGAGACTTTATTTGCACCCAGTTGGACACAGAGCAGAAGAATCAGAGAGTTAATGATTCTTAAACTCATTGAGCTCTCAGTGGTCTGCACATTGTATTTGGTTAATGGCTTAGCTTTGAGCATTTGATTCCCAGTATGTTTTATTTCTTTGCTTGAAGCATTGAGAATTAATTTAAAGCAGTGGAAATTCTTATAAAGGAGATTCCACGTAAATGAGTTTACCATTTCTGATTGACATAGGTTCTAATAGTTATGCTCCAGTTTTGGGAAAACAGGCATTCTTATTATAAAACCAGATCTCTTAAGGAATCCACTGCTTTTGGCCTGCCAGGTCCTTCAATTTGGAGATAGTAGGCCTACTGTCTGTTCACAGAGTCACTGCACAAACCTGTGTGCCCACGGGATTTGGCACTTCCTCATGCTTCTCCAAAGAAAGCCTCTCTCAAATCTCAGGACTGATTGTCAACTGGTCAAGCAATCTGACTGCAGACATGGAACTCTCCTGTGGCCAAAAGCATGGGCGTTTCCCCTGTATCAATACACACATTTATTTTCAAAAAAACTAATAGGTGAATAAAAGACTACTTAAAAACTGTACTTAGGAAAGAAAAACCCACTTTTCTTCCCCTTTATCTTTTGATTGAAATTCAGTTTAAAGGAATAATTGGGCTTAGTCCTTTGACAAAGTCAAATATTCCTCCCAATCCTTAATTGTTTTAACTTTCCCTGGCCATAGAGAAGTCTTTCATTTTCTGTCTCTTCTGACTCAGATAGATGAAAGGATATTTTTTTTCATTCCTGATATTCAAGTTCCAAAGGATTTATATCCTGGAAAATATAAATGTTTTGACTACAGTTTTCAGGAAATATGTCCTTTCTCTTGCTGCTTATTGCTGACTTAGACTATTTCTATGGATCTACCATCTGTACATGGATAAGGCAAGTTCTCAACTTCAGCAAAGATTCTGTGCAACCTCAAACTGTTTTGAGAAAGAAAATAGATGTAAAACACATCAAAGATTTAAATTAATGTATGTGGATATGTTAGTTTCCTGATGTCCTTATATATAGCGATGTTTAAAAAAAAAAAAAAAAGGGAAAAGAAACAGGACTTGCCAGTTTTTATAGCTCCTAAAAAAGAATTCAAGCATTTAAACTGGGCTGCAAGCATTTGTGTTTGAATCAACAAATAGATAGATGTCTTTGGCAGCAGTAAACGCTACCCAGCCGGGAGTGTGAAGTCATATAACTCCCTCTAGATTAGTCCCTTAGAATTCCAAAGGGATGCCTGCTATTAACCGTAGCTGATAATGTCACTTTCACAGAATTTACCATAGCTTTTTCCTTGGCATAAATAAATACGTTTTAACTTGCCTAGAAATCCTTGTGAAGGGGAGGAAAGAGAGTAATATTTGGGTATGTTTCAGGTGGAAGCCAAGCTAATTGACAAACTGGATAGCCTGATGTCAGAAGGCAAAGGTGACGAAACATACCGAGAGCTCTTCAACAGTATGTGAGTAATATGTTTATCTCAAGTTGTTTCTATTCTGGGGATTTGGTGTCAGTACTGAGCCTCTCTGCACCACAGTAGCTGAGAGCTGCAAAGGCAGCTTAGGTCTCACAGGAATGCTTTGTCTTTGTGGAGTGTGAAAGGATAATTGCCTAACTCTGGCGAATGGATCTTATTATGTTGATGATTAGGAATGTCTCCCTATTTTAATCTCTGATTAGGACAGGTCACTTATGTTACATAACAAATCTCACTCTTTTCATGCCTGATAATTTTAAAATCATTGCTGTAAGATAATGATTTTAAGTGGGGTTACAAGTGGGAGAGGAGAAAAGGCATGTGATTGTAATGTTTGTGTGCACCATTTTCCAAAGCAAGATACTGATGCTGATTTGCTACTGGAAAATTAACCTAATTTGCATCTGTTCTTCAACACCTGATTTAATTCATTGATACTGATTGTTCACTCAGCATTAATTGTGTCCTAAATGTTTTTTATTAGAATATCACAGAAGTAAATCACTTGTAGTAAATTATGTGTTTTGGATTTTTATGGAAGATAGAGAAAGAATGGAATGCTGTAAAGAGACTTTAAGGTGGCCCTACCCATAGAATTCGATCATAGCCACAGGATGAATTGCTTGTACCAAGTATTCATGCATTGTGTTTAGATGGCCAGAAGATACAGTGAGAATGTTTTAGTGCTTTGGGATTTCACTTCTGGCATTTGTTGTCTCTATAGCTTCCTATGGATCTTAGTCATTTTCAAATCTAACACATGTGCAAAGTGTTTCTTTTAGAAAGAAGAATTCTCTTATTGTGTTTGAAAAATGTTTGCAGTTTTTTCGAAAGTACAAAATCATTCAGTAACACATTTTTGTATGACAAAATATATTTGTATTTGTATTTATGCCCAAGTATCACCTAAAACTAAATATTAGTGCTTTAGTATTGATGGCCACGTGCAAAACTTTGTAATTCATTTTATGATCATGAATTTACAGCACTAGAAACATTAACATAAAGGCTTGAAGAATATTATTAGTGACTAATAGGTTAGATAGATTTCAGCTTGCCTGATTAAAAATTATCTTGAAGCTTTTAGGAAAATTACATTAAAAGGAAAAGTCAAGAAGGTATAGAGATTTCCTGTGGTAGTGGTGGGTGATAAAATATATTCTTTGTACTGGATTCTGAACAATATCATTTTTTTCTTATATCGTAATTAAACCAGAAGTTTTCGTAATTATTCACCCAGACCTCATTCATTCTAGTGTACAAAGCTTCAGTCTTTCATGACAGCTGGAGTTTAGCAAGAATGCTGATTAAAATCTCATCCAGTATAATAAATTGCTTTTGAAAACTGCTCTCATTTCAGCTACTAGTTTGTGGTTTGAACAAAGGACCAAAATGAGAAAGCACTCAGTGAAATGAATCTCTTGAGATTTATGATTAATTATAACAAATTCACAAGATTAATAAATACTCACATAGTTCTATAATGCCTCTTATCTACTTTAACAAAGGCTTGATAGTATGTAGTTTTGATTGCTTGTGTATAAATATGACTTTGAAATAGAAGATGTACTTTGACATTAGAATCAAACCAATAATTAAAATATTAAGCCTCTATAATTAGGACTATTTTAAAGTGTCTTCTTCATTCAGTAGAGATTTTTATACTTTTGTTGATTTTTGGAATATTACTAGAAATGCTACTATAAATAATTTTCTTTCATGCTTTTGTAATCAGCATATTGGGAATAAATCAAATCTGAAGTGATACTTAAGTATCATTACTACCCGAGCACAAGAAAGAATGTGCAAATCTTACTTTATTTCAGGAAACAATAAATTGCTTTTTTGGCAACAGAAATCACAATGAATTAGTATAATCACAATGAGTCACTGCACACATGATGAATTAGGAACACATGCTGTTATGGTACACATTCTCGTTTGTTCCATGTAATTTATGTCTAAAACTTCTTAAAATTTGTTCTGAAGCTGAAAAGCTGTAAGTAGCTCACTGCTTCCTAAATTGTAGTGCTTGCCAAAATGGCCCCCTTGGAGTAAGACTTTAAATTTGTCTAGTACCTTTCTGCCTAAGAACTCAACTTGTCTTTCCCTAACCCCAAACGTTATCTTCATTAATATCTACTGCATTTTTTTGAAATAAGTTTTAAAAAGATTTATTCATTTTGATAACACTGAAATTCTAGATTATAGACACCAATATGCAATATCCAGAATAGAGTATCACAGCTAAATTCTGCTTCTCCTGGCTCCCCTTGATTCGCTCATTCCTGTATATTTATTGGACACTCCCCAAGGCTAGGGATGCAGCAGTGACTGTACTAAAGGAGCACACAGTAGGTCTACCTATAGTCTTGGGGATTCCAAAGGCGCTTTCCAGAAGAAGTAACATTCATCTGAAGTCTTTCTTAGTCTTTCACTCTGCCTTCTCCTATGTACTTCTAAATAATTCAATAAGACTCCACATTATTTCAAAGATTTTCAGTGATCACACATTTAATTATCGTTTGGAGACAGAGAATTCATTATGTGACACCATACCTTACATCTCTAACTCTTCTCTTTGGATTAAAAAGAGCATGCACATATTAGAGTGATGACTTCCACATAACCCCGTTATGATACTGAGAGGAAGATTAAGGGTCAAATCCCCGACACACACACAGGTTCCTTTCACAGAGTGAAAACCTCTTGAGCAGCGTCATCCCTGCAGGGCCATGGCTTATCCTGCTCCCAAGTGTTATGAAGTTCTGTTGCATAGAACAGAGCAGCCTTATCAATTAGCAATGAGAAACCAGTTTTCACTGTTATTAGGGCCCCCTGTATGCTCATTGTGGGCACATGGGCATTATTATGGAGCAAATGAAAATACCCACTCTCACCCAGGTTACCTCTTCTCCTCTTGCTGATTGCCTCTCTTTCTCAGTTTGTATCAGGTAAACAGGGAAATGGCAAGCTTCCCAAGAGAGGGAACAAGGCTGGCTGAGCACACAGATAATCTGGGTTCTAGACTCAGTCCTAACATTTGGTCTTGAGTTAGTCAAGGAAACAGGCTGTGCAGAACTTTGCCTCTTCTTTCAAGAGGATTATGTAGCTCTTACTCCATCAGAAGTCTGTGCAAATTAATGAAACTTATGCCCATAAAAGAAGGCTCCGTGTATTTTTAGAATTATTACTTAACTTGAGTTCTTTGTTTTTCAGCCTCTAAAGAATATGAGGTGTGGGCTGTCATGGGGAAATTTCTACATCATTCTGCATTGCTTTTTGGCAGACAGATTTTCATTTGAGTTCAATACCAATTTGCAATTTAAGCCTGAAACAGGTGCTGTTCAGAGGTTTTTAAAAGAAAACACATTTTAAACAAACTAGGGGACCTTCCTCTGGAGGACTGGTCAGGGCAGATTCCATCCCTTCCATATGCAGTCTCTACCCTTAACCTATGAAACAGTTTAGTGTAAACGAGAAAAATGGGACCAGGGATGCATAGGAAACAGAGGAGAAGGCAAGACAGAAGGCTAGGCACAAGAGAAAGAGGTGGGAGGATGGTGGAAAGAAAACTTGGGAGAGAACATAGCCACAGACAAGAGAAAGCTTTGACAATACAGCTTTCTTCTTTAATGTTTATTTTTGAACTAAGTACCTATATGTTATGTTTAGATTGTACTTATAAGAAATGTTTTCTCTCTTATTCCTGAAACTAAGGTGAAAGACAAATAAGATTTTAGACACAAATGAGGATCATTAAATTTGGAGAGTCAGGAAACAATCTACATATTGCCATGCTTATGTTCTTACCTTTATCTTTTGGGGAAAGTTCAGTCATAAAGCCTTTGCAAAGTACGCTGTTAATTTGCTGAGAGGTGGGAGTGAAAGTAACACAGATTCTAATTATCGTGATTGTTGTTATTTTGTGTTTACGTAGTATCTCTGCTCCAAGGTGCTTAGGATTAGGGGAAATGTAGGAGGAGAGATGTGGTTTGGTACTTGTCATCAATCTGCTGTAACAACCACATAGAAAATCTTCTGTGATTAGTGACAAAATGAATGAAACTGTTGAGTGAGTGCACAGATAGTACAATATGTATTGAGTGGGCAAATGTTAAGTGAAAGGAAAAAACGCAAAACGTCATACCGTCTGTACAAGGATTTTCCTGTAGCAGTTGCATTGCAGTAAAATTGCTTGGATGAAGATGCATTCCACTGAGAGGTAGGAAAATATTTTTATGTGAATAAAGCAAGATCTTGCTTGAAAGTAAACTTGGAGGCACTCCTGTTTTCCCTTTTTGCAGTGTTATTTGATGTGGTAAGACTCAAGCCTCTGTTAGTGTAAGAGAGAAGCTAGAAAAAAAATGTCTTTGAGCTGTGAGATGCTTGTGTATTTTGAAAATGTGATTATATGCATGTGTTTGTATTTTATGACTTGGATAATCTGAAAATCAATTTGCTTTGTCAATGCTTCCTGGATTAGAATTCCACTATTTGGTCCCTATCCTAGGTAAGACATTGTTTGCAAATTGTGCTACTTGTGAGATGTTGCAGTGGTTGCTAAGGCATTTAAGGTACTGATGAAAGTAAAATGGTTGTCATGGTGACTGATAAAAATAAATGTTGAAAATGCCCTGGGTTCTTTCTTTTCCAGTCTACTAAAGAAAATTGAGCGGGAAACATGGCGGGAAAGTGGCGTTTCATTAATTGCTACTGTAACTCGTCTAATGGAGAGGTTGTTAGATTACAGGTAAGCTAAATCGCACGTTTTCCAGATATGCTGCACTACAGTTAGAAAGTCAGATAGAATACAATCACAATTCCACTCACGTGAGTCCTCAGTTGATTATCAGACCACGGAACCTGGTGCACTAAGATAATGAACTTTTCGCCAGCTGGTTCAGAGCTGTTAATTTGGGGGTTTGTTTCTTTTTTATTTTGTTTTTTGTTAGTTTGAAGTATTGGTGAATTGAGAGGATTCTCAGAATCCCTGAGAGTTCTCAAAAAAAAAAAAAGAAGAATCTTTATTTTGGTGTTTAAACTCAGCCACTAGTACCAGTAGACTCTATCCATTTTAGGGTGAAAATAATGTAACAGTGTTGTACAATCATGCTATTCTCTTATAAAGGGGATGTCAGTGGGATGAAACCCTGTCACCTTCTTTGGACCTTTTTATTTAATTATTATTTTTATGTTATCTAAACTGTTAAAGTAGTTCATTCCACTTAAATGCATGGTGGTTTGGTTTTATTTCAGGAATGAAATCCTCATTCTTGTTGCTAATGGCCAGGCTACCAGCCACTTCTCACCCCACTGTAGGAAGTGGACAGTAACACACTTTCACTCCTCTAACTTCCTGAGCTCTCTGTCCACTGAGAGGGAGCATAATCTTGATGTGGCAATGAAATTCTTAACAGAAACTGATGCCTGGGAGTCTCTGACTCCCCAGTTCCCCAGAGATTATCAGTCCTTGGAGCATGTATCTAAATGGACGCTTGCAACGCAAATTGCTTCTGGTCTCTAAAAGTGGCTTTTTTTTTCCCTTCCTTTCTTTTTTTCCCCAAAAAAGAACAAACTGTGTTTGTCCCTAGGAAGGAAGTTCTGAGTTCTGACTATTGCTTTTTGTTTTTAGGGACTGCATGAAAATGGGAGAGGTAGATGGCAAAAAGATTGGCTGCACGGTTAGCCTTCTGGTTAGTAAACGGTTCCTTTTTTTCTCCTTTTCTCTTAATACTTGTTTTTTTTTTTTTTTTTTTTTTTTTTATTTAGAAATACTGTGTTTTGTTGGTGTTTAATCTGAAATGTGATGTTTCTTAGAAGAGTTTTTTAATATTTGCAAGTGTTTCTAAAAGAAGCATAGGAGCCGCAGATTAAATGAAAGCCCAGGAAATCCTCAGCCCCAGACATTACAAAGTGCATCCCCTGCATTCCCCACAGCCCTAATAAGAGACCCCTGTGGGATTCCAGAGTGATGCCATTGGGTTCCCCGGTTGCACTGCTTCACCCTCCTAGAGTCTTGTTGCTATCCTAGGAAAAAGCACTGTGTCCCCTGCTAGAGGTCTTTCTACTTTTGTCTAGCAATTTCTTTCTGTCCTTCTTTTCCTTCCTCAGAGAGTGATATGCAGTCCACGTTTTAATAAATATTAGTGATCTCGTCTTTTGTGAACAAATGACAGTTTTCTATTTAACATGCTAATTTTCATTCTATCTTTTTTGTAAATTGAATTCATAATAGCACTTTTGTTAAAGTTTGCTTTATAACTAAGATGACCAAACAGGACATTTTTGAGGGTAAAATTAACATTCTGTAAAGATAACAGGCTAATCCAAAGCTATCCTGGGCAAACCAAAATTTATATAAAATGCCACATAACTATATTAAATAGAATGGTATTCTTACCACAGAGCAAAGGAATGGCCCTACATTTAGACATTTATTTTTCATAGTTTAACAAGTCAAAGTTTTTGATAAGTTCCTTTAATTGGATGGGAAGAAATTAGGAAAACAGGTAAAAAGTCACAAGAAAGCAGAAACCCTGAGCTTTGAAGAAGGACTGTGATAGGAGTAGACAAAGTAATACAAAACAAAACAAAACAAAACAAAATAAAAAGACTGAAACTGATGAGCTAAGAAAAGATGAAATCGAAGTGGGGCAAAAAAGAATTTCACGGTGCAAGCAAATAGAGAACGATACGGCACGCGAGGAACTCAAATGATCAGTATGGGAAAATATGAAATGCAGGAAAAGTCTACTTATATATTTGTGAATCTCATGATTTCTTTTTCTTATTTTTTGTAGAATAAATGAATCCTTGCCATCTATTATATTCCAAGTACTTGCAGAGTCACTCTTATCCTTACTCTGATCATTTGAGTTCCTCATGTGCCATATCGTTCTCTATTTGCTTGCACCTTGAAATTCTTTTTTGTGCCACTTCAATTTCATCTTAGCTCATCAGTTTCAGTCTTTTTGTTTTGTTTTGTTTTGTATTACTTTGTCTACTCCTGTCACAGTCCCTCTTCAAAGCTCAGGGTTTCTGCTTACTTGTGACTGTCTTTTTATCTGTTTTCCTAATTTCTTGCACTGCTCTTCATCTCTGAGTCTCTGACGATATCTGTCTTTATCACACCCACTGCCTCCTCCGCATTTTTAATCTAATTGTTACATCTCCACCTCCAATATCAGTCCCTAAAAATAGTGAGACCTAAGCATCCTCTATGAGGCCACATCTTGTTCACTGACATAATTTTTTTGTTAGACCCAAGAGTAATCTGCAGACCATCAGCCTAGGCTTACTGGGTCAGACCATTGACCTCTGCTGTCAGTACTCATTTCTAACCTTGAACATAGTCATTCCCTCTCTTAAATTTCCTAGTCGATTCTCCAGTTTCTTACCTGCTTTTGCCAGCCTCTCATCACAGTCAAGACCTTCAGCCTGAGTTACATCCTGCTTGTGTGTCAATGTTGAGAGAAAAGCTAAGTGCTTGATGAGCTTTACGTCTTTTCTGTTTTCTTAACCCTGGCTCTACCTCAACTCCAGGCACAAAGTCTCATAAATAACCTCAAAGCAAAGCCTTTACCTTTCCCCAAAGTAATCCTCTCCATTCTTCCATCTTCTTTCACAAGTACCTTCCATTTGGAGATGAATAAATAAATGGAGACCTTATGTTCATTTCCTCAGTTGGTATAAAAGAAGGGATTACTTCCTTGGATGAAAGAATTAATACTCTGCCCTTAATGTATTTGCTTCAGTCTCCCAGTAGGAATACACCTGAGATTTAATATAGTAAAATTGTGTGCCTCCATTACTAACCACTTGAGACATTATCCTGATAGTTTTGCACTAACCCAGAATACTTCTTCTAGAAAATTTTAACACTTTGAAAGCTCTACTTATTTCAAACTAGCATAAGAATATGTATTAAAGAACCAAATATATCACTTTGAAGATAATCTTTTTGGCTTCTATTCCATATGGAAAGTTCTTGATGATTTCTATTAGCAATGTGGTTCTCTTCAACTACTCACTTCCTCTTAGAGACTTCTCTTAACTTTTTGGAGGGTCCATTCCAGATTGTCTTCAAGAGAGCTTTGGCATCCCATACAAGATCAGAGTTAAATTGGTTTAAAAAAAACAAAGGGTAATATTTGACATGACTAATACCAGGAAATGTAATTATTGTTTTGTTCTTTGTGTCTCACACTTTGTCAGACATTTGGAAGATAATCATCTGCTGACTGGAGAGATTTTTTTTTAAGAGAACTATTTATTTAGAATGATTACTTGTTTTGTTCTCAAAGCTGCTTCTTACCAGAAAGCTATTAGAGCAAATCATCCTTTAATAATATAAAAGCCTGCTGTGGAGTTCTTAGACTTGTGTTTATGGTACAACAATTCTTTTTTTTTTTTTTTTTTT